TTATTCCACCATTATTTTCACCATTTCCACATATTTTTAAATATATCCATGTTCCTCATCATAAAATACAATACTAAATATAATACTCGAAATTAGATGAAAAATTAAAAAAAAAGAAAAAAGAGAAAAGAAATTTATCCATATAATGAGAAATATATTTTTGTTTTAAGAATCTTATTAATATATTTCTATTTCAAAATATCAAACGATAACAATAATAAACAAATAATATCAATTTTCATGGAATGAAAATCACGTTATTCAAGTTTTCTCTTGGTCGAGTCAAATAACAGACATCGTTTTTATTCGCAATTACAATGGTTAACTGAACAGTAACTTGGTTACCTTGGAACGGCAGGAATACGATTGGTTTATAAAATCTTCGAGAAAGACGAGAAAGATCTTTTCAAGCTTCCTCATTGTCCAAGTATTTCACTTCTACGAGATAAATAACATAAACTTTATTTCCCGAGAGCGAAGTAAAATTTTTCTTTTCAATAATTTATTATAGATTCGTCGAATCATATACTACTATATTCAAATCACAATTCACTTTAAAATTCTTTTAAAACACGATCAAAATGAATAAATTCTACACAATCTAACACCCACGCATGTCACATACATCATTATCAATCCTGCAATCCCTTAAATTATTGAATGAATTGCACCGTTCACGATATTCTCTTAACGATTTATTCCTCTTTTCCGCGCATTTTATTCGAAATTAAACAAGAACAGAGGATGGTATATTTCCTTGACCCATTCTCTTTTCCCATTCGTCAAGAAGGAGGAACGAATCGTTTTGGCACGAGTTCAGCATTTTCTTGGTACAGTTTCACGAAGTGAAAGAAGAGGAAAAAATGGCTTACCCAGGAGAAGTAGAATAGAACCCGCGACGAGCAAAGCGAGTCTATGATCGGTGGTCGTCGCACCCGGTGCAAGTTGGACTAGACCGACAACCAACACGACTGCACCCAACAATAGGCATACCACAACCGCATGCAGCCCAGATATCTGCGAATAACGATGCCTCCATTTAAATATTTCCACAAATCTTTTAAGTTTTTGCGAACGAATTTTCCTCTCCTCGGATTCGAGAAATTTGGATTATTCGTTTCTCTTCTTAAACGTTTCTACAGAACGTTGATGTACTTTTGTTCACTGCTGGAAAGAAGTCTCGCGGAACGAATGAATCTGATTGGTCAATTTGAAAGGAAACGCCTATTTTCACACACATTTTTGTTCATGGTATTTGTTATATATATTAATCCAGTAAAACGGCGATCTGTATCTAAACTTCATGCATTAGCGTAGGCATAGAATCAAAAGAATTCTAACGTATCGATATAATATAAAAATTTTTTCATTTCTCATAATAAGTATCTAAGATAATAATTGTACATATATGAATAAGCTAGACATACTGTATATTAATATTATATCAAAATAATTAATTTCCAATCTTAGATGATTATTCTAACGTAACTTTATAAATGAAAATAACTTTTACGATTTTGAATATTCAAATTATAGCTCTTCTTAAACGTGTGTTATATGTGTGTAATATCAGGATTGTCAACAAACCGTCTGAAGTGGAGATGGGCGGTCCTAGCGAAAGACCCCTCTTACTCTTGTGTCGTCCCGCGAGATTTCTTTCTAGCAGTGAACAGTATATTTGTGGTACTAGCTTTGAAATATCGAGGGATAAAATGAATGTTAAAGTTGATGTGCAAAAATGTCGAGACTTCTTTATTACATATAGAAGGTGTCCCAAAAATGTTGAAATAATCCATAAACTGCAGGTAATTTCAAGTAACATTTTTCTTTACGAAAACTTTCGTTACGATTTTATTAACGGAGCGTGTAACCTAGTAGAGCCATGACATAGCGTTGATTACCGATCGAGTAACAACACGACAAGTTCACAATCACAAGTCTACAGTATCGAAGAAAGTGCATTGAATATAATAAATATTTTTATCGATAAAAAATTATATCGAATTATATTATGAACAATGAATAAATAAATAAATATAATATTCAATATTTTCGATATTTATAGCTTGGACTTGTTCGTGTTTAATCGACGATATATAGTTAATACTGTCACTATATTACGCGCTATTATGTGATTGGCCAGTGTTTTTTTGTTAATAATTCGTTAACAAAGCAGTAACGAAAGCTTTTTCAAAGGAAAATGTTGTTTGAAATTATCTCAGGAATCTTCATGGATGTTTCTAATATTTTTGGGATACCTTGTATATATGAGTTTATAAGTAGATCGCAATATTTGTGCGAAATGAAATTTTTACGAACGTGAGTAACGAGATGGAATAGAGACTTGGCTTATTCTTCAAATATCATAATGCGCGTTATACTTCGAATATTACGAACTTTTTTGCAGATCGTGTGCAATGTGAAATATTTCATTTAGATGCATAAATATCCGCAGTTTACTTATAAAAAATGTTTCTGTTGGATAAAGTGAGACGAAGATAAAGACAGTTCTGTGGTAATAATTGTATTGGTATTCGAATAAAGCGATTAATTAATATTATTATTTTTACTAATTGAAAAATATACTGAATGCAAAAAGTATTTTTACATCATTATTATATTTATCACGTCATTTATTTAATTAGATCAATATATTTATAGATATATAATTTTGTATCATTTGATATATTCTTATGACTACAAAAATTTGATACTATTAAAATTAAAATATATACTCTATATATAATATAAATAGACAAGGAAAAAATAAAAAAATACCATTTTGCATAATTTCATTTTTTTCATATCATAAGTTTTATCATAAAATTCAAGTTAAAATATCTGAAATAATAATATTTTACTATAAGTGGCTTAGTAATTTTTTTTATACTAAATAATAATCTGCATCGATTAATTGATTAAAAGATACGTGATTAAAAAAAGAATTTAACCTTCGTATCTCCTCCAAATGTCCACTAACAAAAAAATTAATAACTATATGTTACATTTTCTTCTATAATATACAACTTTTGTTATAATTTACAAGTTATTTGAAGTCATCATATTACTAAACTCATTCTTCGAGTTATATATTTCTATGCGTGTACAATAAATTTACACATAAATTTTTCTTTTATTTCATTGAAAAAATATAAATATGCAATGCAAATACTTTTTTTCACTCACTGTATTATCCTCACTATCCAAATATAATAGCTTCAATATTTTTTTTAGATGTTCAGATAGCTTGCCGTCCATTATACACCGCCCATAATTGGACAGGGCGCAAAAATCGAATATTCGTGCTATCACGAAGCACACCCACGATGCGTATCGAGATCGATAAAATAGTCACGACGACGAGTTGGTCATTGCGACATATGTCGAGAAATTACCTTGCCACAGAGATACAGCTCGGGCAAAGGCTCGAGGTGGCTGTTGTGGCCATGGGGGCTGGGTGTGGGCGGCGAACCTTGAGGCGGTGGCATCCATTGGCCCCCCAGGTAAAGCTGACTAGGACGCTTTAATCTTTTTTCCTGCCGTTTACGCTCGTGGCGAACTGCCACCGCTGGCATTGCACCGATCATCCTGAAAAACAGCGAGGCAAAGTTAGTTAAAAATAATTAAAAAAAATTTCTTCGCCTTGCTCGAGGTTAAAAATGATATTTTCGCTTCTTTTTTCTCTTGCGATCTTGTTTCTTTTTAAGGTATGAGTATTTTTTCTTTTTTTTTTTTTTTTTTTTTTGAATTTTGATTGATTAAATTTTAAGATTCTTTACTTT